GACAGTGGCTTGGAAAACCGCCCATAACCGTGCCACACGGGGAAGAGGGAAGAGGGAAGGCGGCTGGAGTTCCTCCAACATTTGCGGTTAGATTATCATATTTTTTTATTGACAAAAATATAGGCTCCTTCGGCTGATTTTTTTCATGCGCACATGTGCCCCTAAATATTTTCTACAGTTTGCACACATCTATTTTTAGTCGCAAATGCGAGTGAAACGCTCGCACTGTCGAGCCCTGTACACCCTGGACAGGTCGCCAGACTATCACAGGGCTGACACACAGAGACAGACCACCATTCATGCTCACATTCACACCTACGGCCAATTTAGAGTCACCAACTAACCTGCATGTCTTTGGACTGTGGGAGGAAGCCGGAGTATTCGGAGAAAACCCATGCTGACATGGGGAGAATATGCAAACTCGCACAGAAGGGCTCCCTCCTGGGATCTAACCAGGAAACCTCTCATGAGGCGACAGTGCTAACCACCATTGATTTTAGTTAAATGTGTGGAAGCTTCATAGCATGGATGAAAGTGTTAAAGGCATACTTTTTTCAACTAACTTTGTATCATATTAATGTGGATACCGTCTTAACCTTCTTAGATCTCCCTGCTCATCTCTCCGCTCAAATCTAGGGCTGGGGCTCGAACTACAGATTGTACTACCACATTTTGCCCGCCACTATGGACGCAAAAAGTATAAAGGTGGATCAAACAACAAAACTAGGCAGACCTGATCAAATAGAAACCAAGACTCTGTTACTTTATTGCCTATTTTTCACCTAAATGTTTTCAGAAACATATTTGAACTCACCATTTAACTGTAATACCAGATTGTTTGGTACCTGCCGGCCACCACATTGTTTCCTGTGTCAAAACGGACAAGATTTCATTACGTCACCCACCAGCAGGAACTTGTATTGGTCCAGTGCGTTCTGATAGTTGTAGGTTTTCGACCTCTTAAGCAAGAGCACGTGCCACAGTCCTTGTCCTCTGCTTTCTCTGGTCCCGTATCATTAGTTTTGTATCATTAGTTTTCAAAGTATTTACATTCTACATAGTAGGGGTGGAGATAAAAATTGATGTGGCACAGTACACTTTTTGTCTTTCTGTTCTTCCTAGTAGGATAATAAAATGAGTTCCTTTTTCAGTCCCATACATTTTGCAGCAATAAGAATGATTAAATTGAGATGAGCAGACTAATTATTTTATCTTAAAACAGATGTTGACAAAGTTTTCCTTTTGGGATGTTATTTGCAGTTAGGTTATAAAATCACAGTAATATTGTATGATGACTTCAAGATAATAATCAAGATAATATATCGTGGGACTTCTGTGTGCAGCATCATGTTAGCCTTTCAACATATTGTATGTGTCAAAAAATATAATTTTCCCGCAGGTGTTGAAATCAGGTTTCTCAGTGTTTTCAAACAATCGAAGTTCGTCTTCCTTGTGTTTGATTGACCACTGAGTCCTGTCTTGTATTTTTGTTCTTCTGCTTTCTTTGTTTCTTTGAATGTTGTGTCCTTCACTGAGTGGATCCATGTGTGCGTCAGAGTGTTTTTGTGTGTCAGACAAAAAACTATTGCTGGAAAGGTTTGCGAGTCTTTGGGTGCGCACAAACATGAGGCACTTTACACTCCTCTGGTGTCAGACAGGAGGGGAGCCTGTTGTCACATTTCTTCATCATTACCTTGCCTGCCCTCCTTTATCTCTCTCCCTTGGAAGTTAAAAAAAGTAATCAAAGGCTTGGCATCCGACAGCTCTGTCTCTTTGCCTCTTCCGCTTTAAATTTTTTCTTTTCCTTTCCCTGATTCTTGTGCAAACACCGGTGCCTCCTTCACAAAAGCCCCTCATTTCAGGGGCTCCGAAAACCTCTCCAGCTTGTCTCGGTGGAGGTATGCCTCCTCTCTGACATCCCTGCTAAATGGAGGACGCTCTGCCACTCATTTAACAGCTCTGCGACTCGGTTGCTTCTCTGGGAGCCTGGCAGCCCTTTTATCTCCTCATAGCTGGCCATGAACTTACGCTCCTCTCTGCTCTGTCCTGTCCGTCACACCCCACCACAGCATTAACATTAACATGCCTCTTAGGAGGCCGCAGAGAAAGAGCCTTGCAGGGCTCTGGCCTGAGCATCGGGCTAAATCCCAGATCAGGGTGAGAGTTTAGGCTCCCTGGAGAGGAGATCTTGGCCAGCAGGGTGGATGGTTAGAGTATGTTGGAGATTAGGGCTTTGGCAGAGTCAAACGCTGGATTAGGAGTAAACGGTGAAGAGGAGATTCCACAGGGTCTTAGTAGTAGCCTTCTGGGAAAATAACCCTGTAAATTCTTGGCCTGCTCTTTTACGATGTACATGTTTGTGTGCGTGTTATTCTCAGTTGTGTGTGCAGTGTACAGTATGTACTGCTTGATGCTTCCGTGAATTAGAAAGGGCTGTGGTTTTCACTAATGATACTACTTTATCTCATATATCAGTTTTGTGGTTTATGGAGCGGAATCATGTTACCCCAAATGGATGGATTGATAGATGCCTTCATGCATAAATGGATGGATGACTTTAGCTTTTAGCCACTGAGATTTAAAACCACCAGTCATTTGTCTTTTCCCTTCATCAGTGTCTCCTTTTTGTAGTGACTGATGAAGCTACAATGATTAATTGATTAGTTGTCAACTATTACAAGAGAAAAGGGCACTCAATAGATTGCAGATCTCCGCCAGGCGGCTACCTGGGCTGATCGCAGCCACTTTAGACACTCTAGGTGTGGCTCTTGTCACAACACGGTACAATGCACTGTGAGAAAAGTCACAGCGCATTGCACACAGCAGATTGATTTTTACTGGCAAAAGGCACTGTCTATGAGGTGTAGACACAATGTAATTAGTGGGATAAATGTATTTTTAATAACTAAAATTCAGCCAGAAATCTTTGATCCATGTCATTCATAACTACACTCAAAATAGACAAAAAAGACACCATATGATTATGCAGCCTGCTTACTTACTTATGGTAGAAGCAAACATATCAAGTAAAAAATTACCAAATCAGCAAAATCTGCAAGTCTAGAAAATCTGACAGGCAAAACAGCTCCCATTGTGGTATGATACCATGCTGAGGACAGACCAAACCAGGTCGCAGCTGCGCCTGATGGAATTGTCCCTTCTAGTTCCCTTCCTGTCAAGGTGGCAGCAAAGATAACAAATAATTGAGATCTCTTCATCTCATATCATGCCTTATTTAAGTGGATCATAAGACCAAACTTTTCTATGGATGAAAGTTTTTGAGGCACGATGAAGGCCAAAATGTAGCCAGACAGACGGTAAGGTTTGTTGTTTTTAGCTGAGCAGATTTTCAAGCAACTTTCAGCCTCCATTGGCTGGTGAGTGAGAAATTGGCAGTCAATGACATAAAAACAAAACAGTCAGTAAATCACTTTTTCAACACTTGTGAATCACTGCGGCCACAAGAGGCCCTTGAATAACACTGCACACTCATACATGTGCACATATGAGGCTGATTGGCCCAGTAGTTTGCGAGATAAGCCACAGAGAGACAGATAAACACACTCACGCACACAACCACACAGCAACCAAATGTATGGTAATTAATTGCCAACTACCTTCTTACTATATAATGACGAAAACTGTGGGTGTGTGTCTGTGTGTGTGTCTGTCTGTGTGTCTGTTCCACATTTTTCTCCTCACTGACTTGGTCAATCCATGTGAAATTTGGCACAGTGGTAGAGGGTCATGGGAGGATGAGAATGAAGCAATATTGCATCAATTGGCCAAAGGGGGGCGCTATAGCAACCGATTGAAATTGCAAACTTTGAATGGGCATATCTCATGTCCCGTATGTCATAGAGACATGAAACTTTGCACAGAGATGCCTCTCCTCATGAGGAACAAATTTGCCTCAAGAACCCATAACTTCCAGTTGTATAGATTTTCCTCCATTTTGATTTTTTTTTTAAAAACACTTAAAATCAATCTCTTCCTAGGAAGTTTGACCGATCTGCATGAAACTCGGTGAACATAATCTAGGGACCAATATCTAAAGTTCCTTCTTGGCAAACATTGGAAAACTTACTAAAACTGAGCTTCTATAAGACAATGAATATTGCGGAGGGCGCGGCTCATCACATAAAGGTGTATAACATCTCAAGGGTTTCACCAATCACCACGTAACTTTGTAGGCATATGACCACACATAATCTGAGGGGACCCCTCCATTATTGACCCCATCAAACAAAATGGGGGCGCTAGAGAGTTAATTTCTTATCTAGGCCTAACCGCCATATCGATTTTTACTAAACTTGGTAGATATGTAGAACAGGAAGCCTCAAGGTGACTGGAGAAATGTAACTCTTTTTTTTTTTTTTAATATACTTTATTAATCCCAGAGGGGAAATTATAATAAACAATAAGTGGCAACTGGGTGGCGCTATAACAACAGAAAAATGCTTAAAAATGGCTAAAATGTGACCGTGGCGCCCCCTGTGGCCTAATGTTGGGTTTTTTCTAGTCATTCTGTCTGTCCCACATTTTTCTACTCACTGACGTGGTCAATCTATGTGAAACTGCACATAGGCATTGAGGATTGGCATAGGTAGAAGGTGACAAAGCTACCAATGGGTATGGACTAGTTTATTAATTAATTGGTTTGGGTAACTTCTTCAAATAACAGTAAAATTTTCTGATTCTAGCTTCTTAAATGTTAATATTTTGTGGTTTTGTTTCTCTTCTATGACAGTAAACTGATGATCTTTGGGTTGTGGACAAAACAAGAGATTTGAGGAAGTCATATTGAGCTTTGGGAAACACTAATCGACATTTTTCATAATTTTCTGATATTTATTAGACCACAGAGCTAATTAGTCACTCACAAAAATAATCAACAGATTAATCCACAAAGAAAATAATTGTTAGGTGCCGTCATAATGTCTGATTTTAAAGTTAGAGAGGAATAAATGTGTCTTTGTTTCTGCTGTATTTTCTTCAAGGATGATGAGCCAATCACAGGCGGGGCTGATGGCAGAGACCATACCCGCATCCGGAAGTTTCTCAGCCAGCGGCACAAGAAATTGCCATGGAAACCGGAGGTAACACAAATGATTTTCTCTCCTCTCTCTTTCTTTTCTGAGGCTTGAACTTAATTCTTAATCATCTTCTTCTTTAACCGGATCCAGGCGGATAAGGATTAATGTGTAAGGGTCCTTGAGGTGCTTTGCTTTTTGTGTGACTCATCAGCCAAACGTGTCACGGCCTTGCACACACACACACACCAAACCTTCTTTTTGATTTTTCATTTCAATTGAGGATTTGGTTTTTTTCGAAATATAATTTAGCTGCAGATGTCTTACTCCCTTTTTGTCCTTTTAAGAGCAGTCGATATTTAAGGTCAAACAGAGACCTGGTCATTCTCTGGCGCTATTATGGGATGAACAAAATGTACCTTGCGGTTATAATGATAAATTATTGTGCAAGGAGGATAATATTTTATACAAAACCATTAGCGGGTTATATTTGAAGGCACCTATGACCTGAAGATTACAAGGCGATTTGATTCATCCTAATTTTTCAGCTCACTTACTGATGTAGTGTACACACTCGCTGTAACAAAGGGAGCAGCAGACAGGGCAATTAAGCAGCGGATTTGTGATAAGGAAAGCGGCTCTAGATTTGTAACCTGCGCAGCAGAGTTTAATTAAAGGATTGTGTGTGTGTGTGTGTGTGTGTGTGCGTGTCTGTAGGCCTAATCTGCAAAATATGATTTATTAGTCTACCTGGGGTAAAGTTTAACTATCTCTGCTGCACACCACAGTGTGCGGGTCTGGGCAAACTGTAGAGAATCTATCAGTTCACACACACACACACACACACACACACACAGCATGAGATGAATAATAGGAGATTACTGTTGCATACTGCAAGTTATTTTCAAGTAGATCACTTTGACTGCAGCGACTGTACTTTTTTTCTTTTTTCTTTTGTTCTTTTTTTTTTTTTTTTTTAACAAGATTCTCTATCATTCACTGCCAGCTTTCATGCTGCTTCCGCAAAGCATTATGCATGTAATCTTTTGCACAAGGCAGCATTACAGGGGTGCTGAACACAGTGTGTGCCTGATAGCGTTACAGTGCTGTGACTGTTTTACTTCAGTAGTCTCTCCTGAGTTAGCCTGCCTTTGTTTTTGTGCCTTGTATCAGCAACGCAGTAAAAAGTTAAAACTAAACACCAGAATACATTCATAAACCCCCAGTTAAGTTAGTGGAATCAGATTGGGCTGATTATGTCAAAATCATAATCCTGATTGTTTTGATTGTTAATAACACCATGCATTTATTGAACATTAACTCTGGTGTTTCTTTTAACACTGGATGTCTTTTTACACTTTAAATACAATTGAAATGAAAAACAATGACATAAATGAATAAAACCGAGACACTACTTAGTCATACACCACTTTGTTAGTAGACTTCAAGTGCTGGAACAAATTGATTGAGCATGATTGTAGTTTGTTCCAAGTCTGACTCCATGAAACCAAAGTGTTTCCACACCACAGAGTTTGTTTTACCTTTCTTCTCGACCAGCAGCTCTCTACAAGTTCTGTCGACGAAGTTTCAAATCAGCCAGAGAGGTGGCACGTCGTAACTCACTGTTTTAAACTCATGTTGAAACTTCTGTTTGGACTTTTGGGGGAGGGGCCAAGCACATCCGCTCAGAAAGGGGTGCTTGGTTTACAAAATAAGAGACAAAATGGTAGATTCTTCATGCGACACAAAATTGTTCTGTCTCTAGTTGAGGGAAGCCAAATTGTAATTCGTTCCCAATCTTGGCAGCAGCTGCTGCTCAGGCGTGGAGCATCTAGAGAATAGGAATCTCGCCTATTTTTTCCACGTGACACACGGTTTCAGCAAAAATAGACAGTGACAGTGGTCTTTTGATAAACATACCGACATTACACCACCTTTCACTGCAGTTTCAATGTCTTCATCTGTCACAGACATGAAATATATTTCTTCCGAGCTGAACCTTTCCTGTTTCTGGTTTAAAATAAAAGCCCTGTGGCAATGTTTCGGCTGACAGAACCCCTTCATTTGTTAACACAAGGCTTTTTATTATGAAATATTTGCAGGCCCATGTTGTTGACAATGCAGGGACTTGCACAGTTCCATAAATGAGTGGAGTATTGGCTTTTAATTGTAGAAATAGAGTAGTTATAACAGCAGGCAGCTCTGCAGCGACTGTGTGAACACCACATGTGTGCGAGCTGCAGCAGTTCAGTGAGGTAGCCGTCATGCACTGTTCATGCTGGCAGTTTTGCCTGGGCGTCAGTCGACTGAGGGGTTTTCGACTGATGATTTTGAATCTTTGACTTTCTTTATCCTCATATTCTCACTTTGTTTTTAGCACGACAAGCAGTGGCAATTAAATTGTTGGGCATGGCCAATATCGTCATTTGGCTTTGTAAACCGTCACATGTGGATGATGTCTGTTTTTTAATCATCTGGCCTAGAAACATCTGTTGCCTGACTATCAAGGGCCCTGCATCTAATTGTGGACGATGCTTTTTGGCATAATTTAAAATGATGCTACTCAGAAAATGAGAAGTCACATTGATATGAAACAGCCAAACTAGAACTGCAGCCAAACAAGCTATCTGAATCTGGACCATGTAGACTAATTGCACAAATGTAAATGGATTTCATGGCCTGAGCGCAGCGAGACTTTTATTATGAACATCCTGTTGGTTTTTTAACAGTATGTGTGTGAAAGCTGTTAAAACCACATGACGCTTTTGCAGTTAAAATAGATGTACATGATTTCATTGACCAAGCAGCAAACAGAATGTCTTATTTATGGTTTGGATTGGAAAAGCGAAGCAGCCTCAGAGGGAAATAAATTTTGCAACATCCACACCAACTACATTTTACATTAGGCGTGACTAGCATCAAAGCGCACTTGTAGAAGTCAACATGCCATTTCTTTGACTCATTTCCAGCCTCCTCATAACGCAACATGCCATTTAGTCTCTGTGAATATGCAGCATAAATCTATCAAATATTTTACACATCTCCATAACCTCAAAAATCTCTTTCTCTTTTATCTCTCCGTCGTGAAGCCTAAGCCAAGGCTGTCAGAAATTATGGAGAGCAGCAGCTCTTTCTTTGCTTTCCTCACTAGCTATCTGTCCTAATTACCAGCACTAACTTGTTTTCCTGGTGCACGGCCAAGATGGCAGAGGTCTGAGGGGCCACTGAGCTGGCACTGTCAGAGGCGTAGACTCAGGCTGGTGGAGGTAGAGTGGTGCCATATGCCAGCTGTCACAGACTGGGCAGAGGTCACACGGGCATCCAGAAGCATTCATACGAGCCACATGCGCAAAAAACTGTTGTACACAAGCAAATTGAAAGGACTGTTCACTTTATTTCTTCTAATTTGTGCACCCTTAGAGAGAAGAAGAAAGACACAGAGAGGAAATACTCAATATGTTTTAATGAAGTTCTGTGAGTCTCTCCTGTGTTGGCTCCACCAGGTTGTTTTCGGCTGCTACTGGTAACTAAATGAGGATTCCTAGCCAGTGAACTCACCCAGAGGTGACTGTGGATTAGCATAGACAGGCAGCTGTAGAGCGGACATCCTCTGTCCTTCAAGGACACCGGCATGTCAAGGACACTGACACTGGATAGAGATCAGAAAGACAGAGCTGGCCCACTTTTTCTAGCAGCAGCCAGTCATGAAGGGATAATCAGTCATTTGCAGAGAAGCTGACATGGATCCAGAGAAAATTTGAGTGTAATGAACAATTTTATCCAGTCAGGAGCAAAAAAAAAGTGATGGTAAGAGGAATTACTGACTTTGATATCAGGGGGTCTTTTATATTTTAATTTTTGCATGTGTACTGTTCTGTATTAAAGGAATACTTCACCTACAAAATGATGATTTTTCTATCAATTGCTCACCCCATGTTACATTGAACTCGTGAAATCCTCCATGGGGAATTAAGAGTCCAAAAATGGAGAAAATTCTTGATGAACTGGAATAAAAAGGGGGCCGTGTTTAATAAAAGCAAAGCTAAATCAAAACATCTGTTTACAAACTCTCAAACAACTCGTGCATTATAAACCAAGTCTCATTAATCCAGCTGCATGCTTAGCACTTCCCAAACACATGCATATTCACTACAACCTTAAAACACTTATACAAAAACACATGCATGAATGAGGAGGGCGCCTCAGCAGGCACATGCATTTAAACTCTGCTCAGTGGAATGTACAGGCAGATTTCAAAAGCGTCATGACACTTGTGTGCGAAAATACTGAGAATACGTCTGGATACATGACGCTTGGATTATACTGCACAACTTGCGTGAGTATTTGTATACAGATGTTTTTAATATACACTCACCAACCACTTTATTAGGTACACCTGTTCAACTGCTTGTTAACACAAACAGTTATCAGCTAATTACGTGGCAGCAACTCAATGCATTTAGACATGTAGACATGGTCAAGACGACCTGCTGAAGGTCAAACTGAGCGTCAGAATGGGGAAGAAAGTGAGAAAGTGACACTTTCACGCACAACCATCTCTAGGGTTTACAGAAGTTGGTCCGACAAAGAGAAAATATCCAGTGAGCAGCAGTTCTCTGGGTGAAAATGCCTTGTTGATGCCAGAGGTCAGAGGAGAATGGCCAGACTGGTTCAAGATGATAGAAAGGCAACAGTAACTCAAATAACCACTCGTTACAACCAAGGTCTGCAGAAGACCATCTCTGAACCAATAACACATCCAACTTTGAAGCAGATGTGCTACAGCAGCAGAAGACCACACCAGGTGCCACTCCTGTCAGCTAACAACAGGAAACTGAGGCTACAATTCACACAGGCTCACCAAAACTGGACAATAGAAGATTGGAAAGCGTTGCCTGGTCTGATGAGTCTGGATTTTTGCTGCGACATTCACATGGTAGGGTCAGAATTTGGCGTAAACAACATGAAAGCGTGGATCCATCCTGCCTTGTATCAGTGGTTCAGGCTGCTGGTGGTGGTGTAATAGTGTGGGGGATATTTTCTTGGCACACTTTGGGCCCCTTAGT